AGCCGTGTTAGTCTGTATCTAAAAAAACAACAAGGAGTCTGGTGGCACCTTAAAGACTAACAGATTTAACTAACTAACTAACTGTTAGTCTTTAAGGTGCCACCAGACTCCTTGTTGTTTTTTTTAGAGGGATTGTATAATACTGTATGCCGCTGACTTCCAATGGAACTTGTGCTCCTAAAGCACTTTTGAAAAGTTTACCCGACGTTTTTAAACAGTTCTACATTTTTCAGTAAAACTTTAGTTGAGGTTTACCTTGAAGTTATTCAAGTCACTTTTCACTAACTCTGTTGGATCAACAATGAGGACATTAAAGCTGTTAATCATGTCTCTGGTGTGTTGGATACCTAGAACATCTCATCTGAAATGCTTGATATGCCTCTAGAGGCCAGCATCTTCTCTACTCTACAGGGAATACAGATGTCTCCAGACATGAAGAAATGAAGCTAGTCTGCACTGATGGAGGCCACTGCTAATTAACAGTGAGCACTTCAGGACACTAGATTTAGTTCCTTACTTAGTTTTCACTTTCCGGGATTCCCGACGTTTCTCTTGTTGCAGCTGTTCAATTTTCTGTTGCATTTCCTCTTGCTTGGCACTGATCACTTCAATCTTCGACTTGGCATCACTGAGCTCCTCCTAAAACGCAGAATAAATTCAACCATCACTTAGAGAATTTAGATACTAATGCTCCCTGGTCGTGATGGAATGCCTGGAATGATACTATGCTCATGAGTACAGTCCACATTGATTAGAAATTACTGGAATAAAACTATTGGTCAGATGATTAGTCTCTTGCAGTTACAGCATGTATCATGTACATGCTGTGGTTTCGGACATGTAGACATGTATTATCCAGCATGTATTGGAAATCTCTGCCACGACCTCCATTACTGGAGTATGTTTGGGCACCTTAACCAGCATGAGAAAGGAAGCTCTTGTAAGGCAGAGAGAGACAGAGTCAAAGGGCCTCATTCAAAGCCCATTAAAGTCAATGGAATGACTCCCAATGTCTTTAATGGCCTTTGGATGAGAGACGCAGAGAGAAGCCGGCAGTGACCTCA